ATGTATGTATGTATGTATATATGGGTATCTGTCTCTCTGTCTCTCTCTGTGGAAGTTGATGGGAGCAACACTAAACCCTAAACTTTATTCCGCCTAGCTAAACCAGGCAGGTGGAAAAGAGGCGACAACAAAACACAAAAGCAAAAAACATACCTAAGCTTTGAGAATCTCCAAGGCGATTACTGCCAAAGAGCCTGAGCTCCAAGCAGCCACGGCGACGGAGGAGGTCAGCTCCGGCCCACTCTGCTTGGATCTTTCGATTTCAGACTGGAGGTTTAGGGTTTAGGGTTCAGGGTTAGGGTTAGGGTTTAGGGTTTAGGGTTTAGGGTTAGAGTCTAGTGTTTAGGGCTTAGGGCTTCGGTTTCAGAGTGGAGGGTTTGGATTTGTTTTCCGGGGGTTTGGCTTCTACTCGGAGCCCCCGACTGTGCAAAAGTAGACGCCCCTAGGCTTCAAAGGCTTTGGAGTCGAAAATGCTGCGGTAGCGTATAATAATCACATACTGCCGCAAATGCTGGCCTTGATTATCACTATCTAAGTCGCAAATCTGTGATTAGCCAGGGCCCCTTTTTGAGGGACCCCTTGTAGGGTCCCTTTGAGACTACGACTTGGAGCTGTTGAGAGGTTTGGTGTTGAAGGACCCTAACCCTGAAACCCGGAAACCCTAAAGACTAAACCCTAAACCCTGAACCCTAAAGCCTGAACCCGTAGCCCAGTTTAGGTTGTCTAGGGCTTTAGGGTTTATAAGGGGCCCTTAGCCCAGTTTAGGCTTTAGGGCTGATAAAGTCCCCTAAGCCCGGAGCCCTAGCATCCCAAAGCCTCAAAAAGTGGAGGTTTGGGCTTACAAAGCTTTCATCAAAGGACCCCGACAACGAACGCACTCATATTTCATATTAGTCTAGGATGTTTTCAGGTGGGTAGTTGCCGTTATAGGAGCCTTATAGAAGGTCTATATACCTTATGGAAGTCTTATGGAAGCCCTATATACCCTAAACTCCCCTCCTGTAGTTTCCTTTAACTAAGGCACCCTAAACCCTAAACCCTAAACCCCTAAAACCCTAAACCCTAAAACCCTAAACCCTAAACTCCCCTCCTGTAGTTTCCTGTAAATTAGGGTTTAGGGTTTTGGGTTTAGGGCCCGGATCGAGGCCGTATGGTATGCTGCAAGGTATCCTTAGCGGAGCCCTTATACTACAGGATCCTTAAGGGAGGGTGGCTCAAGGGGGCAGGGTCCTAGGGATCCTTAGGGAGCTTTAGGGAACCTAAGGGAGTACCAGGGAGAGTTGGGGATTACTGGGTTATATACCCCCCCTTAGAAGCGCCTCCCTTAAGGATTCCATAATTATAGGACTGTTGATCCCCCAGGCCGGCCGGAGCGATTTCCAGAAGTTCCTCAAGTGGCTCATGGATGTCGCAGCTTGATGCAATGCCCTTAGGGTTGACCTCAACCCCAGAGGGTTTAGGGTTTAGGGGTTGAGGGTTGAGGGTTTCGGCGTTTAGGGTTTAGGGGTTTAGGGTTTAGGGTTTAGGGTTCAGGGGTTGAGAGTTCAGGGGTTGAGAGTTTTAGAGGGTTTAGGTTTACGTCAACCCCAAACAGCCATACTAAGATCCCCAAATAACCTGCCTGTTCACGGACTTATACAAGGAAACCTTGTTAAAGTACCATAGAACCCAGGGCTTGCTCAGCCCTGAACCCTAAACCCCAAACCCCTAAACCCCTAAACCCCTCTCATCCCTTACACCCCTGAACCCCTTCACCCCTTAAACCCCTAAACCTCTAAACCCCTAAACCCCTTAAACCCCTAAACCCCTTAAACCCCTAAACCATAAACCCCTGCACCCCTTAACCCGTTAAGCCCCAAAACCCTAAACCCCTAAACCAGGTAGGGTTCACGGCTAATCGTGTAGGGCTCAGGGCTGATTGGGTTCACTGCCGGGCTCAGCCCCTTGGGTTGAGGTTTTCTGGCTACAGGGTTTAGGGTTTAGTGGGGTCTAGGGATTCAGGGAGTGTAAGGTTTAGGGGTTTAGTGGTTAGGGGTAAAAGGTTTAGGGGTTTAGGGGTTTAGGGGTTTAGGGGTTTAGGGTTTAGGGGTTAGGGGTTTAGGGGTTTAGGTGTTAGGGTTGGTCGGTTTCTGGCTATAATTCCAGGGTCTAGTCGGACCTGCGTCCAAGTCAAGATCGGCTCCTGAATTTGCGCCTCCTTCTGCTTTTTTTTGCAGTGTGTCTTGTGCCCGCAGAAGGAGCCAACGGTCGGACGGGCGTTGCTGGTCGTGCCAGGCGCCTCTTTTGACGAGAAGATGCTCCTTCCGAACGCTGCGTTGGAGAAGCCTTTGCCACTCGAATGCGCAGTCTGTGGCTGTTATCCACTCAAAGCGAATAATTTAGATCCCTAAGGGTCCAAGTAGTCCTTATTTATGGTTTTAGGTACCCAAAAAGGCCCCAAAGTCTTTAAATAATGGGTACTTGGACCCTTGGGGGATGGTGTCTATCTTTCGGAAGGTCTTCTCATGAACAGTGGGCGAAGTTTCGAGAGCTTGGCCCATGGATGACCCTGAGGGTCTGGGAGTGCGAAGTTCAGTGCAGATCTATGGTCGCTTTGATTCCTACACTTACCCATAGGCCCCATGGTAGTTCCTTTTTGGGATTACCTATTAGGATCCTAAATATAAGCCACAAAAAGGAACTACTATGGGACCTATGGGTATCCACGGCAAACACTTGAAACTCCTGCCCCGCTCAGAAGCTGTTGCGAAGACGACAAGCCTCGAGAGAAGGATGCATCAGTGCAAGATGGTCAGAAGCTGCATTGCTGGACTATACGAAAAATACTCCAAAGCCCTATACCCTTAACCCTAAACCCAATGTAGACCGTTGATGATATAAATCCTGCATTACCCATAATAAGGAATATACCAGTTTAGGGTCCTTAATTATATAAGGTAATGCAGGATTTATATCATCAACAGTATGAGGTTTAGGGTCTCAATAAAACAACAGCTCCTGGAATCCAACTTGTCGCCCTCAACCCCACAACCCCTAAACCCGAAAAACGCCAAGCTCTTCGAGAGCCCTTATTAGAAACTAGATCCCTTCAGAAATCCTTCAAGAAACCCTTATAAGTACCCTTAAAGATCCCTTCAAAAATCCTTTAACAGCCCGAACCCTCAGGGTCCATGTACCGAACTAGTATATAGTTTGGCTTTAAAGTAGTCCCTATGTAGGTACTTTGGGGCAAAAGTACCTACTAGTGGGGGACATGGACCCTTAGGGGAAGCGTCTGAGATTCCCCTAAACCCTGAACTGAAAGGACTTTAGGAGGACCTCTAATAGGGACCCTTAATGCCATTACCTTAAATGACCATTCTATAGTCCTAATATACCCCTTATAGCCAGGTAGTCTCCATACTAACCCCAATAACCTACAAGGGTCTCGAAGGGCTTACATGAACCCTTTCTAGATACCTTCAAAAGTCCTTTAACAGCCCGAAAAAGCGTCTGAAAACGCCCCCACCAGGCCGGCGCAGACCTCCTGGTGCAGGTTGGCGAGCTCGAGAAACCCTGGAACGCAGCTCGGGCTGTGCGCGGGGATTAGGGTTCAGATTGCGGAGTGACATTTTGTCTTAGAGACCGTAAACCCTAAACCCTAAAGCCCAAAAATAAACCCTACACAAACGGTTTGGGGTTTAAGGGGTGACGCTTTTGTCTTCAGGGGTTGAGGGTTTAGGGTTTAACAGGTTTGGTCTCATAAGCGCTAAACCCTAAACTCTGAGGGTTTTTGTAGAATTTGGGTTGAGGGGTGTAGGGTGTGGCTTGGTAAAGGCTGCGCTAGGAATGGCAGGGTCACCCGGAACAAAAAGTTTTTTGCAGTCTTCAAGCATGGGTATATAAGGTAAGGATTTAGGGTTCAGGGTTTTGGGCTTAGGGTTGCGGTAATTCTGGGTCAGGGTTTACATGTTTGGGGCTTGGCGAGAGCTTCATTTAGAGGGGCCCTAGGAACCTGAAGCCGTCGACCCGAACCCCAGACCTTATCCGGGAGCTTCAGGACCTCCTGTAGCTGATGCACCATCAGACATGTAGGGCATTAGGGCTCGGGGTCTGAATCGTAGTGTCTGGGGTTTAGATTAGAGTCTAGGGTTTAGAGTTTAGGGTTTAGGGTTTAGAGTTTAGGGTCCAAGGTTTAGAGTTTAGGGTTTAGGGCTGTGTATAATTGTTGTAGCAGTGACCATGGTCTCCAAACATCCTCTGCTAGCCGTACAGCACACCAAAACAGCAGCATCTCAACGTTAAATGCATACCAGCAGATTACTGCCGTGCGCAGGGTCTTCCCCTAACCCTAAACCCTATGAGCTCTATACACCCTACAAGCCCTATAAACCCTGTAAGCCCTAAGCCCTAAACCCTAAACCCTAAAAACCCTAAAAACCCTACAAACCCTACGAACCCTACGAACCCTACGAACGCTAAACCCTAAATTATCGGATCCTTTGTTCCACAAAGTCTGGTGCTCAACACCGCCGGCATGAGGCCAGCAGCTCCACCTCGGAGCCGTGTGAGCCAGATGCCCAACCTATCGTCTCAGTTGTAGTTCCTTTTTGGGTTTAGGGTTTAGGGTTTAGGATTTTGGGTTTAGGATTTAGGGTTTAGGGTTTAGGGTTTAGGATTTAGGGTTTAGGGTTTAGGGTTTAGGGTTTAGGGTTGTAGTTCCTT